GTAAGTGGTGTTTTATATAATAAAGGTAAAGGGTAAAGGGACCCCTGACTATTAGGTCCAGTCGTGACCGACTCTGGGGTTGTGGCGCTCATCTCGCTTTATTGGCCGAGGGAGCCGGCGTACAGCTTCTGGGTCATGTGGCCAGCATGACTAAGCCGCTTCTGGCAAACCGGAGCAGCACACAGAAATGCCGTTTACCTTCCCGCCGGAGCGGTACCTATCTTTCTACTTGCACTTTGACGTGCTTTCGAACTGCTAGGTTGGCAGGAGCAGGGACTGAGCAATGGGAGCTCACCCCATCACGGGGATTCGAACCGCCGACCTTCTGATTGGCAAGTACTAGGCTCTGTGGTTTAACCCACAGCACCACCCGCATCCCTTTGGTGTTTTACATATTGCCACCTAAAAAGGACCCTGCCCTGTGAGTCTAAGTCCAGATGCTAAAATGATCTAACTGGAACCACCGGTTAAAATACTTGTTTTTAAAGTACAGTGAAAAAGCAGGCCAGCACCTGGAGATCGTCATGAGCTGTCTTCTATAGTCTTATAGTCCTATTGGTTCAATATTGTCTACGATGACTGGCAACACCTCTCCAGGGTTTTAAAGAAGGAATCTCTTCCAGCCCTATGTGGAGATGTTGGGGATTGTGTGTTCACAAGATACAGTATGTGATTAGCTGCTCTGAGCACATGGGGAAATCAAAGGAGTTGGGCTTTTTGCTTTTGTAACAGCGAAACTGTGAAGCTCTAGTGAGAGCCAGTGTGGTGTAGTGGTTAAGAGCAGTAGTCTTGTAATCTGGTGAACCGGGTTTGCGTCTCCGCTCCTCCACATGCAGCTGCTGGGTGACCTTGGGCCAGTCACACTTCTTTGAAGTCTCTCAGCCCCACTCACCTCACAGAGTGTTTGTTGTGAGGGAGGAAGGGAAAGGAGAATGTTAGCCGCTTTGAGACTCCTGAAGGGGAGTGAAAGGCAGGATACCAAATCCAAGCTCTTCTTCTTTTAGTTAAATAGATTGTTAACAGTTGGGCAGTGGCGTAGCGTGGGTTGTCAGCACCCGGGGCAAGGCAAGTAATTTGTGCCCCCTAACCTGTGGATTTTAGCACTCGAGTCTCTTCCACTAGATTAGTTAAAGAAACCCTTACCCCCTAAGCACATGTATTGTTTGTTATGAAAATACTGATGTAATTAAAGTAAAATGCATCTAAATACAAGTTTATTTTCAGAGAGTGAGTGAGCCAGGTAGGGGCAGAGAGCTGCGAGTGCGAGTGCGCCCCCCCAAATGTTGTGCCCGGTGCGGCCGGCCCCCCCTGCACCCCCACGCTATGCCACTGCAGTTGGGTAAGCTTGCAACTTCTTAAAAGGTTGCTTTTCTGTTCTGCTTTTAATTAATAAAGCGCTTGCTTTACTGTGAATTAATCTAATAAAACTGATTTTATAGTTCACCCTGAATTTAATTACTTGACTGCTGAAGAGGAGAGGCACTGGATAAAAACAGATGGGGATTCTTGTGAGCGGTCCATTGATACTTTTATTTAAATAACATGAATACCAAACAGCAGTAAAACAGGTCAGTAAAGCCCAATGGTAATCTGTCACAGGCTAAGAAATACTAACTAGTCCAAGTACTTGATAGATTCACTTCCCCCAGAGCCTGATCCTTCACAGAGCTCTACTCAGAAGTCCCATTGAGTTCAATGGGCTCAGAAAGGTAGCATCATAACCATCCCATTTGGGCTCTCTGATCCAACCATTAATTCCTTCACTTAGAATATGCTTCCATGATTATCTACAGATCAAACATTTTCTACTCAAGTCCTCTATACTTAATGACTATAGAATAATTCAGCAGTGACCCTTCCACCGAAACCTGCCAGAGCTGGAGCACATATTACACGTATTACCATTCAGATGTTGCTGAAAATGGGATGACAGAGGCTAGTTTTCAACTTGCAAGCTGCACATGAATAGTACCGAAAGAGTCCGTTACTATGGGAGATATTCAAGTAAGTTTTTATCAGATACATTGAAATCAATGGGCATAGCTAAGTTAGGTTCATTAATTGGAGCAGGTCTACTCTGAGTCCAGCTTACTCGAATACCACTTCATATGTCTGAATTTCTCAGCCATCACCCATGGATGTCTGTGTCAATCATGTACATGACACATTCTGTGGATCATAACCTGTGAATGGAAATTTCACTATTTCTGGTTCATGGCCAGTGAGAGAGAGAGAGAGAGAGAGAGAGAGAGAGAGAGAGAGAGAGAGAGAGAGAGTTTTGGTTCTAAGCAAGGAGGCTGAAGAAATCTCACTCTTCCTTATTCAGCAAGCAGAACCTGCAGTAGCTCTCTGACTACAGATGACATACTCCTACCCAGGGCCAATTTGAAAGGGAGCCAGGAAAGCCATTTGACCTAGGCTTCAAGCTCAAAGGCGCCACTTTGAAGATTTTTTGGCACGTGATAAGTTTCATAACTTGTTTTTGTGCACATCAGATGAAAATGAGACATACCCACTCAGGGTAGAGCTGCAAATTTAAGCTAATAAGAGATGTGATTTGGTAGAAGACTTGATTTTTTAACTTATAAAGAATAATTTCATATTAAATAACTTACTTTTTTGCATAACTACTCATAAATATATATTGGTTATGGTGGCACAAGATTAGACTGTAATTAGTGGGGCTCCCTTGACATATAATTAGCTGATTATATATAAGCAAGCAACTCACTGTTTTGGGGGAGTGCCTTGTTTTGTTTCAATGTGTCATCATTTTTAATTGTTATTATGACTAAAGGCCTCAAAATCTGGAAGAGGCCCAGGCCTCTGTAGACCTCTGTGAGGGCCTGCCTCTCCCTGGCTGGTACAACACTTCAATATTCCCAGAATATTATTATTAATTGCACTTAATAGTTGCTTTCCTTTGCAACATGTAACCCAAAGCAATATACAAAACAGTGCAAAGATTAAAAGCACAACAGAAAACATGGGGAAAAACAATTTTCATTCATACATGTCTGTGATATATATATCCGTAAGTGGGGAGCCACCATGAAAAGGCCCATTTTCATGTTCCCACCCTCCACACTTTCCTTGAAGGGGGCACATAGATGCTGAATGTAGGATCCTGTTTGGTTCCACAGCTAATTCTCCCCTGGAGTCCTCACTGGCCCAAGAAGGACTAATTCAGCCAGCTAGCCCTGGTGACTATCTAATGCTTATTGGGTGGATTTTCCCCAAATTAATTTTTGAACTTTGAATTTTATTGTTATTCATGTTTTTATACTGTATTTTATGCTGCTTCTACAATTAAGTGTTTTAAATTTGTTGTTAGCCACCCTGAGCCCGGTTTTCTGAACTGGGAAGGGTGGGGTATAAATAAAAAATATTATTAATTAATTTATGATTATTCCTATATATCTCCTTAACAACTACCGGTAACTTACACTTCCTGAATCAAAAAGTTGCCTTAAATAGTTGTTAGCGGTGATTTCCTTTTACAGGGAAGGCTTAGGGTATAATGATTTGCTTTCCTAGACAAAGCCCAGTGCAAGTTAGGTGTGTACCAATCTTTATTAAACAACTGGGAATTAAATGTCTAACTTTGTCCATGGCTTCAATGCAGTCCTGAACTTTCTCTGGATTCTACACTATGTTAATAAAGTTATCTGCTTAAAGCCAGTGTACAAATGCAAATAAAATGAATTACGCTCTCCCATTTCAGCCGGTTTGACTAAGGTATCCAGAATACCTATTGAGTATGTATGCTTTTTTATAGTGGTCACACAACGCTGTTGCCATACAAATGGCAATCTCTATCCTCACTCACTTTTAATCCAGATTTTTCCAAGAAAAACCAGATAAGTGAAAAGCAAAAAACTAAAACTTGTTGCCAATGACCCATTTGCAATATATTCAGTTTCTGTCTGGAAGCGCCCTGACTGCATATTTAACATTTTCAGGGTCTCACATTTATTCAGGCATTGCTTCCTTGAAAACTGATTGCATGGCGTTAATAAGGATTATCTATCTCATATAGTCAGATTGAAGGATTCATTTTGACACTTTAAGAATTCGAAAGCGTTCGTGTGAACTTCTTAAAAAGAAATTGGCGGATGAATAATAAAAAAAAGGTGACGTGTGTGTTACTAGCATTAGCCTCACAATTACATTGCAAAGGCCATCCTTCATCCTTTCGTTCCTCCGTTAATTTTTCCTTTGGGGCCTTCAAGGAAAAACTAACAGGCATAACTTGTGCAAACGAAAAACCATGGCAACAGAAGCAGAGTGCATTTAGGCAAGAGGTCACAGGTTGGCACAATCTTCATTCTTCCCAATAAGGTAAAGGTAAAGGGACCCCTGACCATTAGGTCCAGTCGTGACCGACTCTGGGGATGCGGCGCTCATCTCGCTTTATTGGCCGAGGGAGCCAGCGTACAGCTTCTGGGTCATGTGGCCAGCATGGCTAAGCTGCTTCTGGTGAACCAGAGCAGCGCACGGAAATGCCGTTTACCTTCCCACCGGAGCGGTACCTATTTATCTACTTGCACTTTGACGTGCTTTCGAACTGCTAGGTTGGCAGGAGCAGGGACTGAGCAACGGGAGCTCACCCCGTCGCAGGGATTCAAACTGCCGACCTTCCAATCAGCAAGCCCTAGGTTCTGTGGTTTAACCCACAGCGCCACCCGCGTCCCCAATACTCCCCAATACTACATTGCAAAGTGCTATTTACATTTCACACAAGGAACACTGTTAACATCCATAACACAAACCAGAGCAGAGCTTCATAATCTGAGACTGGGGCTCTTGCAGATGGGGTGTGTGTGTCTTGACTCTTCATCTCAGGCTCCTGAGTTGGAGCCCCACATTAGGCAAAAAGATTTCTGCAGTGCAGGCAGTTGGACTAAGTGAACCTTTGTGGTGGCTTCCAACTCTACAATTCTATGGTTCTATGGCACCCTGTGCAAGGCACCCTGAAATGAATCTTCTCAATTTTGCACCCCCTTGGCTCAGTGCCCTGTGGGTGGAGTGGGGTGTGTGCGTGTGGCCTGCCCACACTGCCCTAAATCCAGCACTGCCACACCAACCCCATCCACTGTGGGGAATCATGGTCAAGGATAAATGGGAGTTCTTCATCCCGCAAAATCTGGGGAGCCATAAATCCCCAACCCCTGGACTATTGTCTCAGTTTCCTTTTGGAACATCATTGTACATGGGAGACTGGCATGGGTGAGAGACCAGGAGACACTGTCCCACGAACCGACATACCCATTCTCCATGCGTAGTGGAAGCATGTAAACATCTAACAAGCCACATTTCAAACGAAGCAGGATCGTAGAGTTTATGCTGGTGCCGAAATTGTAGCTCCATCTCGCTTGTCTCTGGCGGGTGGCGTTCAAGAGCCAAGTCAAAGGGTCTTAAGTTTACGCACCCGCGATTCTCCTCCTCCGGCGGCGGCGGGGTGGGGTGCTCTCCCCTTGGTCCTCTGACTTCATCCCGGATCTCAAGTCAAGAGAGTTTCAGCCCGATGCCTCCTGGAGGAAACTGACTACCCGGCTCTGGCCACTTTCTTCAGCCAAGTCCAGCGGGCGGCGCCCCCAGCGGTCCCGCACGTCGAAGCGAGCGCTCCCTCGGCGCAGGACCCGCAGCGTGTCCAGGAAGCCCCCGCGGGCCGCGTCGTGGACCGGGAACGTGCCCGTGGACGGGTCGGGCCGGTTGGGATCCGCTCCTCTTTGCAGAAGCAACTGAGCTACCCCGGGGTTCCCCATCATCATAACCTGGAGGGAGAGGAAGAGAGGAAAGTCAAGGTTTGCGCATCTTTACGCTTTCCGTCTAGGCGCTTGGAGCGGCCATGTTCTGCGGGCTGAAATAGCCAAGATCCTGACCGCCACGCTGCATTAATTAGCTCATGATAATTCTGATTAAATATTTTTTTGGGGGGGCTAATCTGTGTACTGTTCATAGGAGCCAGCTCCTATGGGTCGAGGCGGCTTTGTCCCACCAATAAAATATTTGAGGGGGCCGCCCCCTAAAGTTGATGGGTATTGCCATTCAAATGGTGTGTGTGCACTGCGTCATAGGATTATGTGATTGGGGCGGGGCTTACCTCCCCCCTATTTTATCCTGAATTGTTGTACCCTAAGTTGGATCTGAACTTTAAAAGGCGCAGTGTCAAAGTTGAAAAGTCAATCATACGATATTATTATTATTATTATTATTATTATTATTATTATTATTATTATTATTATTATTATTATTATTATTATTATTTGCCCGCGCCTCCATCTAAGGTCCCAGGGGGGTTCCAACGTTAAAGCGATATTAAAGAGAGTTTAAAATAACTTACACAAAATAAGGCGAGTCCTAAAAGTACACACGTCAAGTTTCAGAAGCTAAGGGTAAAGAGGTTTTCCTTGGGGCGAAGCATCCCACAAACGCCTGGGAAAGTCTGGTAAGGACACCGCTAGGCTTTATCCGGCTAAAGCTGCGTTTACACCGCGTCCTTCGAAGGGACCATTTCGGAGAAATTGGCAAGAGGCTCTTTATTGGCACTGGGCAAATCTCAAGAAACGGAAAGGTTTCTGATAGACCTCTCTCTCTCTCGGGGATGGAGTGAGTAGTAGTAGTAGTTTTAATAAGTTTAATAATCAACAGTAATAAGATTTTTAAAGGTGGTATCCGGTTGAGTCATTCATAGCATGACACCTAGAATGACGAACGGTGCGTACCATTCAATTTTTGGGGGTGGAAACGCGTCCCATAAAACTGAAAATGGTGGGACATGCTTCCGAATAATAATAATAATAATAATAATAATAATAATAATAATAATAATAATAATAATAATAATAATAATAATACATATTTTTGGAAGCACGCTCGGCTTTTATTTTAATACTTTGTTGGAAGCCACCCAGAGTGGCTGGGGAAACCCAGCCAGATGGGCGGGGTATAAATAAATTATTATTATTATTAATTATAATTTAGTATTCTTTCTTTCGAGAGAGTTATTCAGAAGGATCCCAGCTGGAGATAAAAGGATCCGTGTCTTCTCTCTCCACCGAGGCGAACGTATTCGCTTCTGCTGCTTCTTTCCCATCGAGAAAGACGGCTCCCACGGAATCAATCTCAGCCCAAACTGGCGCGCACGTTGCGCTTGCTTCGGAAAGGCGGGTCTGCAAACTCTCCAGATGGGCTGTAGCGAGAGGGGCGGTTCTTGAGCAGCAAGGAAAACCAGGGAGACGAAACGAGCGAGGAAACCAAGTGAAGAAAGAAAAGCTGAACTAGCAGCAGGGAGTGAGCGCAGCCACTCTTATCAAATGCCAAATATTGACATTTTTAATGTTATAAGAAATAAATGTTTACCAAAGGCCTGGATCTTCAGGTGGTGGTTTTCTTGGAAGGAAGTCGGAGTCTTTTAAAAAAAAAATAGAATAAAATAGGGCTTTTTATATCTGCAAGGTTGACGTTTGAATCTAATGCTAAATTAAAAGCTGCAGCCATCTCTAGAGACGAGCGCGAAGCTGGACGGACGCAAACGAAACCTCTGCTTGACGAACCATTTTGCCTCAGACCCTAAAAGGACTAAAAAGCAGTATTAATTTAATTTAATTTAATTTGTGCATCCTTCCGCGTTGCTCTCTGTTCACAGCCCAGCTGAGGCGGAGTAGGTAGAGTAAATCGATTCACAAACGCAATGCAACAACTGGTGCGTGGTTGTGATTTGGAGAGGGAACGAGCTGCTACAATTGGAAACATGAAAGCTGCCCTTTTTCATTCAGTCGGGCTAGCACCATCAAAGAAATGTGGGCCACCCCACTTCAGTTTAATACAATGACTGACTGGCATTAGTAACAAAGGTATCATTTCTAAAAGAGGCGCAGTGAAATAAAAGTCTACCAGAATTCACTTTTCTTCCCGGAAGCCGGATCAAACTATAGACGCGAGGAGGAAAAGTGAAGACGCGTCACAGCAGAGGCTTTAAACCAGGCATAGCAAACTCCGGCCCTCCAGATGTTTGGGACTACAATTCCCAGCATCACTGACCACTGGTCCTGTTACCTAGGGATGATGGGAATTGTAGTCCCAAACATCTGGAGGGCCGGAGTTTGCCTATGCCTGCAGTTTAAACCAAGGATGGGGAATGTGTGGCCCTTCAGACGTTGGAATTCCAGCATGGCCAAAGGTTAGGATGCTGAGAGGTGCAGGTTCTTGGAAGGAGTTCAGCGCCTGATTGTGCTAAATCGGCACCATTTTAAAAACAACGCATTTGTTTTTAAAATGAAAAAGCACGACTTATTGCTTTTTGCTGGATATCCGTGCGGGTTGTGTTTTTATTTTAAAACAGACTTATTGTAATTCTAATTATACCCAAATCTGGAATGTAGTACTGTACTGATATCTCTGGCCCTCTTTTTGTCTCTCTCTGCTTCGAAATGTCATGCCCGTTTTCTGCTTGACAATTCCGTTTTCTGCTTGATAAAATCAAAGAGTTACGATTAAGTGCAGCTGCCTAAGAGCGCGAACGTATAATCCGCGATCACTCGTAAGTAAGCTCCATTGAGCTTAAAAACGTTGGAGGTTTGGGGGCAACTCAGGTTGCCGAAGATGAGCTTGCAAATCTCAGTTTAAAAAACATGCAAGGCTGGAAGGGAGCTTTACAAAATCCAGCGCGGGGCTTACTCCCAGGTTAATGCGGTTAGAATCGCGGGGGGACGACGACGACGACTTGATTAAAATATTGGGGGGGGGCAACTAAGCCCTGCCCCGCATAATCGATCACATGTGACACACACACACCATTTGAATGAGAATTCCCCTCAACTTGGGTCGTCCATGGGCGTAGCCACGATTTATTGGGTGGGGGGCAGAACCCAGTTATCTGTGACACAATTGGTCAGTTAAGTATTTTTATTTATTTACTTAATTGGCCCCTCCCTACCTCCCCCTGGCTACGTCCATGGCAGCCTGGGCCCCTCAATATTTTATGGGGGTGGGGGCCCGAAGGGACTTTGGCCCCTAGGAGTCGGCTCTCATGATTGCATGTAATACTCACTTTACATGAGCGCTAGCCTTCTGTTAACCTCAATGGGGCTTACTTCTGAGTAGACACGAATAGCATTTCATACCCGAAGTCTTTTCTCTGTTTCGCTAGCTCTTTTCCTGCGGGTAGGTAGCCGTGTTGGTCTGCCGTAGTCGAAATAAAATAAAATAAAATAATTCCTTCCAGTAGCACCTTAGAGACCAACTAAGTTAGTTATTGGTATGAGCTTTCGTGTGTGTTCATGCAAAGAACTTTAAATTAATCGGTCAGTGAGGCTGAGTTGCCGCCGTAGGTTGAAATCTGAGCTGGATTTCTCAATCTCCAGCTACGGAATCAAAAAGTTAGAATAAAACCCAGAACAGAAAAGGGGAGGTAGTTTTCGAGAGATGTGTGACCCCCCAGGTGGCTTTTAAAAGCAGCTTTTCCCATTGTGAAAAACAAACAAACCCCAATGAGGTTAAATAAGAGTATAGCTGTCATCTTTTCCCTTTGCTTGCGAGGAATCCTATTCGGAATAAGGGAATTTCCCTGAAAAAAGGGGAAAAGTTGACAGCTTATGAATAAGAGTGAGATGAATATGTATATGGTTGATGATTAATTCTAGATTTTAGTCTAATGTCTCCAGTCATTTCGGGGTTGCAGTGATTTTTCATTCTCTCTTCTCAGTCTAGGCAGACACCATATATTTGAAGCACACGACTCCGAGTCCAGCCCACCCCCCACCCCCAGTCTGTAGTTTCGTGTGAGGGGTAAACCACACATCTCAGGTTTCTTGGGCCGGGGGGGGGATGTCATGTGTTTTAAATGGTTGCGTTTTATAAGGCTGAGAAGGCGGACTTTGGGAGGGTCTCAAATCGTTTTGAGAATAAAACAGGACACATTCTGGTAACTGAATGTATTATTAGAGGGCTGGTTCTCCTCACTTGAAATGTTAATATTTGGTATTGAAATCTGTTTCCGAAGTGGGGATCTGTTCTATACAGTACAGTGGTACCTCGGGTTACATACGCTTCAGGTTACAGACTCCTCTAACTCAGAAATATTACCTCTGGTTAAGAACTTTGCTTCAGGATGAGAACAGAAATCGTGCAGCGGCAGCAGGAGGCCCCATTAGCTAAAGTGGTGCTTCAGGTTAAGAACAGTTTCAGGTTAAGAACAGACCTCCAGAACGAATTAAGTTCTTAACCACAGGTACCACTGTACTTCTGTTACGTAAACATAAACTGAAACAAGATCCTTATTTAAATATAGTATTTTCCAAAGACGACACTGTGGTTGCTGTTGTTTGGCGGTGGGCGCGGGGATGAGAGTCCGAACCTGGGACAGCGATTGCTCCAATAATTTTATTCTCCAATCATTTTGTTCACCTTTCTATTTTATTTTATTTATTTTTAGTTTCCTCGGACAGGGCAAGCTGCGCAACATGGACCCAATCTTGGGGGTGGCTCGAAGCCAATCCTCCAGCGTTTAGGGTTCATCCGAACAACTTTTCTAACTTTTCATGGATCCATTTGCCACTGATGGACGTTAAAAGGGTGGACGTTAAATCCTGCCCCCCCCCCCAATTTTAAACAGGCTGCTCGCTCGCTAGGTCAGTCAGCAGCACACACAAATTGTGATTAATTGCTGTATTTCGGATCTGGGTGTAATCTGGTTTGACTCCTCCTCTTCCACCTGAGTTTGGGTGTGGTTATTTTTTGGGTGGGGGGATGATCAGCCCTGTGTTTTGGAACGGGCCAAGTTTGTAGGATCCATCGTGGGCTGCGCCTAGGAAGATAAATTCCAGCGCCATCGAGAGGACTTCCGAGCAAGCGTGTTTTGGATCAGGGCCCTGCATCGAGCCGATAAGCCTTCTACTTCCAGGAAGGTGATTTTAAAGCACACCTGGGTTACGGCGTGCACGCCATGCAGTTCAAAGCACACATACCCCTTCCAAATCCTGGGAACCTTAATTCACCCCCTCCCAGAGCTTCAGTTTGTGTATTTATTTACTGGAGCTAAATCCCACCTTTTTCCTCTAAGGAGTTCAAACGGCCTTTGTGGTTCTGCCCCTCCTTGTTTAATCTTCACAAGGACTCTGTGAGGTAGTTTAGGTCGACAGAAGGCAGTGACTAACTCCAAGGTCACTACGAGTGAGCTTCAGGGCTGAGTGAAGATTTGAACCCTGGACTCCAAGGTCCAAGTCCAGCACTCTAACCACGGCACTACGCTGGGTCCTCAGCACCCTTAAACTACAGTTCCCAAGTTTCTTTGAGAGGGGCAGATGCGCGTTAAATGTATGGCGTGCGCATAGCTAGGAATGAACAGCTACTAGGATCTGACTCTCACTGGACACGGGTTGACTATGGGTTGTTAAAACTAACCCCCTCCCCAAAATAAGCCCCTCTCCGCAAAGCCCCCAATAAATCTAGTTTAGTCCCCGAGTGGTACTCATACTCCGCACCTCTAAACCTCACGTTTAAAATTTCAGCCATGGGCGGGATCAGGGGGTCAGCTGCCCTGACCTAAATCAAATAAGAATAAAAAAATACTTAAAGTAGAAATGATCAGAATATTTGAAAAGTTTTGACCATTTATTTCCTGGCCACTTTAGAGTGAAAAGCAAGTCAATTGGTGTGGAGACATTTCATTCCGAATTTGGTCGACAGAGAATGGCGAAAGGTGGGTGTCCTGCCCGCACCCCAATTTAAATCCTGGCTACTCCCCCCCCGGCAGTCTCTCACCCACCTATCTATGGCTCTCCGGCCTTCCTCCTACTGTCCCCGGACGGACCTACCTGGATCGGGGCCCTGCCGAAGCGATTCACCGCGTTGGGGTCCGCCCCACCATCCAGCAGCCGTCTCAATGTCTCCAGGTCTCCCCGGGCAGCGGCGTTGGCCAGCTCATCCGCCTCGCCGCGGCCGCCCCCTCCATCAATGTCCGAGCCGGGGGCAGGATCCATCCCACGAAGACGAAGACCTCACGGGTTGTCAGTAGGGCATCTATGCAGCCGGCCCCTTGGTGCCCTGCTGCCGGGCTCCCTCAAAGGATCCGTCAGATCATCAGAGGGATCCCTCCCGGCGTCCGCGCGCAAGGACGCAGCAGCGATCTCCCCTCCTTCGCCTGTGACCAGGACTCGGTTCTCGGTCGACGTTGCCCGCTTCCCGACGGCGCGGTCGCCCTTCGAGCAGACCTTCCCCGGCGGGCGGAGCCGTCCAGTCCACTCTTTTCCTGCGCTGGGTTGCGTCTCCCTTCCTCCTTTCCCACGGATCCGCAGGTCTCTATCCAGGCCCGCTGGCTTCCCTCTCTCGGCGGCCAGACGTCGCGATGAGGAACAAGCCTAGGACCGGGACAGCGGAGGCGAATGTGCAGGAACTTCCCCATCAAAAGTGGGTCACTCCGAGAACGGCAGCTGGACTTTCGACCCGCCTGTGCATCCGCTCCCCCTTAAGGGCTCTCTGGGAAGAGGTCCTCGCCTGTAGCAAGCTAGCGTAAAGCCTGCCACCCTGAGGTGCTGCTTTTCTGGATGCACAGTCCAGGGGGTCGCCAAGCTGTGGGCGCATCTGGCATTTTGAGAGTGCTCTGTGCATCATCGTCCCCCCCCCCGCCTCTCTCTCCTCCCCCCGCATCCCGTTCTCGCATTCCTCACATACAAACATACAAGAAAGGAACACCTCTCTCTCTCTCTCTCTCACACACACACACAGATTAGCTGTGCACACATCACACTGTAGTTTGCCCCCCGAAAAGCTACAATTCCCAGCACCCTTAACAAACTGCAGTTCCCGGGATACGTTGTGGGAAAGGATGTGCTCTAAATGTATAGTTTTTATGCAGTCATTGTTTGCTTTTCCACAAGGGTCTGGCAAAACGTTTGCTGTGATGTTGAATCCCTCTGGTTTTACACCCCGCCGCCCCAAAAGTCAGAAGCAAGTTGATTTACATGAATAGCAAATAATAATAATAATTCAAAGATCCGCTGCTGGCAAGCACCACAAAAAGACTGTTCGGAGGTACTAATTCTCGCCGATCTTTCACGATTTTTACGCAGCATGGCTGCAAAGCGCACAGCCCGTCTCTGGCCATAGAGGGTGACCTGTGACTTGATGGTGGTTTTGAGGAGACTGTTAAAAAAAAATATGGGGACCCACAAGGACTTGGATCTATGCTTTTGCACCATAGCCCGGCTGGGCAGCGCAAGACCGGTTCAGAGCGATGGGGAGAGACGTGCTCTGTGATTTGATGGTGGTTGGGGAGCGGGGAGGGAACCTGTGAAGAAAGTATCCTGTCCCCCCCCAAAAAAAGAAAAAAAGATCTGAGCAAGATGTGTGCCCTCAGCCTCGTCTTTTCTTTTCTTTCCCTTCCTCCTCTACTTTCTGACTCCTGCGACACCCCACTTTCTCTGCAAACCTGGCTGCGTATGCGCCGTATGTTTGGAGTACACGATTTCCCCCAGAGGATCCTGGGAACTGAAGTTTGTAAAGGGTGCTTACCTGGCGTTGTAGCTCTCTGTGAAGGGTCCACTAAAATCCCCAGAATTCTTTGGGAGATGCCACCTGCTTTCAATGCATGGTGCGTTTGAAGCCTCTGAACTATTTGTAAGTGGCAAAGCTCCTTGTCATCTGTTTCACTCCAGACAGAGAATATGTATTCGCTAGACAAGCCTAGACTTGCCTCCATTTAGTATGTTCCGTAACAGGGAACCCTCTCAGAACAAGCCTAGACTTGTCCTGTCATATGCTACAGATTCATTCCCAGAAACGGACTTGTGCTGAGCAGTCAGTTTCTAGACTCCTATAAATATACAGCTGACTCTTTTGTTAGGGCTGCAGCAGAAGTTGTGCTCCCTGAACTCCATCTTCTTCCAGGGCAACAGACGGGGACTTGGGCTTTTTACTCAGAGCTGCTGCCTTTGCCCATAAGATGGGGCAGAATCATTCCTTCAGTTTCCAGCGTTCAGAGTGCTGTTGTTTAAGCAGCCGAAACAGTACTACCCACACAAAAATGGTGGAAGTATCAGCAAATCCCGAGGTGTGCAGAAATACATAAATAAAAATAGCCCCAAGAGCTGTGCTCAGCTGGCCACAGAAGGCAAATGACAGAAAAGGAGGGGAGACAAGGAACAGAATGAAACATTCTATTCAGGACTACTCCATACTGCAATATTCGGCTGCAGGCCTGTCTTGCGATTCTGTTTCTTTGTGTTTGTTTGTTTGTTTGTTTGTTTGCTTGTTTACAAACCTGATGCTTCACTTAAGTAAACCTGTGTTTTCTGACATTGGTGGTGAGAAGGTGCTATCTCATGGGTAGGCAAACTAAGGCCCAGGGGCTGGATCCGGCCCAATCGCCTTCTAAATCCGGCCCACGGACGGTCCAGGAATCAGCGGGTTTTTACATGAGTAGAATGTGTGTTTTTATTTAAAATGCATCTCTGGGTTATTTGTGGGGCATAGGAATTTGTTCTCTCCCCCCCCCAAAATATAGTCTGATCCCCCACAAGGTCTAAGGGACAGTGGACCGGCCCCCTGCTGGAAAAGTTTGCTTACCCCTGCTCTAACTTATCTGATTTTATATCATGCATTTGTTTTCTCTGCCAGTTTATTGGGAATTGCCTTCCAGATGTTGAGGCCTACAGCTCCCATCAGTTCCAGATGGGTTGGTCCATAGTCAGGGATGATGGGAGTTGTAGTTCAAGAACATCTGGAGGACGACAGGTGCCCCATCGCTGGAATATCTGAAAGGCACCATGTTGGTTGCTCCTGCCCTAGGGCAGGCATAGGCAAACTCGGCCCTCCAGATGTTTTTTGACTACAACTCCCATCATCCCTAGCTAACAGGACCAGTGGTCAGGGATGATGGGAGTTGTAGTCTCAAAACATCTGGAGGGCCGAGTGTGCCTATGCCTGCCCTGTTGTTGTTTAGTCGTTTAGTCATGTCCGACGCTTTGTGACCCCATGGACCAGAGCATGCCAGGCATTCCTGTCTTCCACTGCCTCCCGCAGTTTGGTCAAACTCATGTTAGTCGCTTCAAAAACACTGTCCAGCCATCTCGCCCTTGGTCGTCCTCTTCTCCTTGTGCCCTCAATCTTTCCCAGCATCAGGGACTTTTCCAGGGAGTCTTCTCTTCTCAAGATGTGACCAAAGTATTGGAGCCTCAGCTTCAGGATCTGTCCTTCCAGTGAGCACTCAGGACTGATTTCCTTCAGAATGGATAGGTTTGGTTTTCTTGCAGTCAATGGGACTCTCAAGTGTCTCCTCCAGCACCATAATTCAAAAGCATCAATTCTTTGGCGATCAGCCTTCTTTATGGTCCAGCTCTCACTTCCATACATCACTACTGGGAAAACCATAGCTTTAACAATACGGACCTTTGTTGGCAAGGTGATGTCTCTGCTTTTTAAGGTGCTGTCTAGGTTTGTCATTGCTTTTCTTCCCAGAAGCAGGCATCTTTTAATTTCATGACTGCTGTCACCATCTGCAGTGCTCATGGAACCCAAGAAAGTAAAATCTCTCACTGCCTCCATTTCTTCCCCTTCTATTTGCCAGGAGGTGATGGGACCAGTGGCCATGATCTTCGTTTTTTTGATATTGAGCTTCAGACTATATTGTGCACTCTCCTCTTTCACCCTCATTAAAAGGTTCTTTAAATCCTCCTCACTTTCTGCTATCAAAGTTGTGTCATCTGCATACCTGAGGTTGTTGATATTTCTTCCGGCAATCTTAATTCTGGCTTGGGATTCATCCAGTCCAGCCTTTCGCATGATGAATTCTGCATATAAGTTAAATAAGCAGGGAGACAATATACAGCCTTGTCGTACTCCTTTCCCAATTTTGAAGCAATCTGTTGTTCCATATCCAGTTCTAACTGTAGCTTCTTGTCCCACATAGAGATTTCTCAGGAGACAGATGAGGTGATCAGGCACTCCCATTTCTTTAAGCACTTGCCATAGTTTGCTGTGGTCGACACAGTCAAAGCCTTTTGCATAGTCAATGAAGCAGAAGTAGATGTCTTTCTGGAACTCTCTAGCTTTCTCCATAATCCAGCGCATGTTTGCAATTTGGTCTCTGGTTCCTCTGCCCCTTCAAAATCCAGCTTGCACTTCTGGGAGTTCTCGGTCCACATACTGCTTAAGCCTGCCTTGTAGAATTTTAAGCATAACCTTGCTAGCATGTGAAATGAGTGCAATTGTGCGGTAGTTGGAGCATTCTTTGGCATTGCCCTTCTTTGGGATTGGGATGTAGACTGATCTTCTCCAGTCCTCTGGCCACTGCTGAGTTTTCCAAACTTGCTGGCATATTGAGTGTAGCACCTTAACAGCATCATCTTTTAAAATTTTAAATAGTTCAGCTGGAATATCATCACTTCCACTGGCTTTGTTATTAGCAGTGCTTTCTAAGGCCCATTTGACTTCACTCTCCAGGATGTCTGGTTCAAGGTCAGCAATCACACTACCTGGAGTGTACGAGACTTCCATATCTATCTGGTATAATTCCTCTGTGTATTCTTGCCACCTCTTCTTGATGTCTTCTGCTTCTGTTAGGTCCTTTCCACTTTTGTCTTTTGTTGTGGTAACCTTTGTACAAAATGTTCCTTTAATATCTCCAATTTTCTTGAACAGATCTCTGGTTTTTCCCATTCTATTGTTTTCCTCTATTTCTTTGCATTGCTCGTTTAAGAAGGCCCTCTTGTCTCTCCTTGCTATTCTTTGGAAATCTGCATTCAATTTCCTGTATCTTTCACTGTCTCCCTCGCATTTTGCTTGCCTTCTCTCCCCCGCTATTTGTAAGGCATCGTTGGACAGCCACTTTGCTTTCTTGCATTTCCTTTTCATTGGGATGGTTTTCGTTGCTGCCTCCTGTATAATGTCACGAGCCTCCATCCATAGTTCTTCAGGCACTCTGTCCACCAAATCTAAATCCTTAAACCTGTTCCTCACTTCTACTGTGTATTCATAAGGGATTTGATTTAGATTGTATCTTACTGGCCCAGTGGTTTTTCCTACTTTCTTCAGTTTAAGCTTGAATTTTGCTATAAGAAGCTGATGATCTGAGCCACAGTCAGCTCCAGGTCTTGTTTTTGCTGACTGTATAGAGCTTCTCCATCTTTGGCTGCAGAGAATATAATCAATCTGATTTCGATGCTGCCCATCTGGTGATGTCCATGTGTAGAGTCGTCTCTTGTGTTGTTGGAAAAGAGTGTTTGTGATGACCAGCTTGTTCTCTTGACAGAACTCTATTAGCCTTTGCCCTGCTTCATTTTGAACTCCAAGGCCAAACTTGCCAGTTATTCCTTTTATCTCTTGACTCCCTACTTTAGCATTCCAATCCCCTATAATGAGAAGAACATCCTTCTTTGGTGTCATTTCTATAAGGTGTTGTAAGTCTTCATAGAACTGGTCAATTTCAGTTTCTTCAGCACTGGTAGTTGGTGCATAAACTTGGATTACTGCGACGTTAAAAGGTCTGCCTTGGATTCGTATCGAGATCATTCTATCATTTTTGAGATTGCATCCCAGTATGGCTTTCGCCACTCTTTTGTTGACTATGAGGGCCACTCCATTTCTTCTACGGGATTCTTGCCCACAGTAGTAGATAT